TAAATACGTATTATAAACACAAACTCAATGGTAATAAACGGGAGGAGTTTTTTATAATTGAAAATTAAATGAAGAGAACTGATTTTACATCACTTTACAATTCATGAGTGCAATTACCTGTTTACCAAATGTATGGAAATGGTGACTTTTGTGCAGATTTATGCATTGGACTGGGTGTGAATTATTTTCTAAATTTCTCAGAAAAATAAATTGAAAACATGTACATGAGAATTTCTTACATGTGCGTAAAATGTCATTATGGCTTCGCAAAAATAATGAGAAAGAAATATGAGATTAGAGTCGGAGTGACCTTACACTCTCTTGCGGAATTTTCCTCTTAACGCGTATATAAATTATTAATTTTATTTTAAATTTTATAATAAAAATAAAAAAAATATATAATAAATTTTAGCAGAAATTTGGTGTTCTGTGTCTTGTCTATTATTTACATATGATTCATGAAGCGATTGTATTCTCATGTATTTTCACTTTCATTTGGCTGATGGGAGATATAAGAGTGAAAACATTTGGATTATTATTTCACGTTCATTTATTCTTTTTATTTAGGGGCACTTCGATGGCGCAGGGAGAAGAGAATTCAGGAGAATTATACGTGACAGTTCCGTAAATGTGAGAGGAATTATCCTGTTCTAAAAGGGACACGCTTGACACAATCGATTATCTCGAAAATCTCGAAATCATGAAACCATCCTATTCTAAAAGGGAGACGCTTGGCACAATCGATTATCTCGAAAATCTCGTAATCATGAAACCATCCTATTCTAAAAGGGACACGCTTGGCACAATCGATTATCTCGAAAATCTCGAAATCATGAAGCTACGATTCCTTATTGGTTCACCTAAAATGGCGCGAGATTACAAAGTCGTAACTCTCTTACAGAAATCGTTTTACACCCGCGCGATGGCGCGTGTTACGGTTTCTCGTTTCATAAAAAATTACGGAATTATCCCGAACTTTTACTATAGCTCAGCGTAATTTTTACTTGTCGTTACAGGAAAATCATATGACAGTATAATTTTAGAAAATTTAATTCTATAGTTAATTCTGTGATTTTTTACGGAATGAACTTCGGCAATTCGGCCCACACCTGTTGAAAATTTCGCAAATTTTCAATGATATGAGTTTGAATTAAATTTCTGTGGGATCTTTGGCAATTTTTCTGAGTATAAAATTTACTCATTCTTTCCTAGGTTTTATATTTTCGCTTCTGGAAAGACGGTTTATGGTTTTATTTTAGTAGAATCGGGAAATCAGAAAAGGAAGAAAGTCCGCACCGAGTTTTGTATTATACAAACAGACTTATGTTCATTACGGGCCATCCCTAAGCAACATTCGGCGACCGGAAGTGATCAAGGGCGAAAGGAAAAACCCCTCGCAGGAAATAAAAATATTGTTGCCCCAAAGGACCGGAAAGTAAAACCCGAGAAGTCGAGTTCAAAATTAGTCTCTTTTGAATATCCATAAAGCAACATCTCAACAAAAATAAAGTCAAAAATTATTCCTTAAGAATAAACAATAATATTCCATAATAAAATAATATTTAATTCCATAATAAAAGAATTTCCATTAAAAACGCTGACTAAATTTCTCATTTATCTTGAAAATCCCAGAAAATTAAGTTTTTGTTGTTAAATAATAATTGACTTTTTGATCAAAATTTGAATTTTAATACTCATCCTGAAAATTGAACATCAAATAGAATAGAATCTTTAAGAGATTGGGAATTTCGGAAAATCATTACTTGAGTTTTCAACATTTTTATGATTTTTCCGTGCCATATCGACTTAAACACTCACAATGTCAAGAATATTCAAAGAATAAAATGATTCCTAAGTAAAAAATCGTTAAAAATTCCACCTTTTTTTCTTGAAAATTTCAGTGTAATTATCCAAAGAGCACGTTTACGGAACTGTCACGTAATTTTTCGTGATATTTTCTCTGAGTGCAGATAACCACAGATTATAAAGCTCAAACTTGTGTCATGATCCTGCAACATCTCACGTAAAAAATACTTTCACCGGATACTCCACCTAACAATTTCACGCATTCGTGTTTTGCGAAAAGTATCTAGCACTTGCGAGTGATAGACAGCGTTCAGAGTTCAAAGACCGCTGGGGTTGACAAATAATCGGGGAGAAACTCGTTGTTTCTTTCTCCAGTTTTGTTTTCACTTCGAGTTTTGTTGAGGTAGGCAATGAAGAGCATTTCCTTGAGAGCACTGAGATCAACATTCTGCTATCTGAATTGCGACAGTCGAGAGACTGCTATTATTGCTTGATGCAGGAAGTTAACTCGCCAAGAAATTGAAGGGAATCCTTCCGTTTTGCCATCAAGATGATTATGTTCCTATTCACTTTGGTTTCTCAATTCATGACGAAAAAATTACAAGTTTATCCCATTTATTCATTTTACTCTTCAATTGATAAGACAGCAATAACCAATTGCGGAGAATAAAGAGAGAATATCCTCTTGAATGGATGAAAATTTGAAAAGGCATAGGCGAAAATACTGTCTTGATTACTTGAATTTTTTTGGTATTTCGTTTTATATTTTCAGACAGAAAACTCATTTTTCTTCATTATTCTTTTCATTCCAATTTCAACCAATCAGATGGTGGCATTTCTCGTCACGTGGTACAAGTAAAACGATTTTACTTCGGATATTTTTCGAATATTTCCCTGTTTGTTGCTAAGCAATGAAAATATCCGATAAACAATTTATACGCGTTTCAAACCCCAAACCTGTCTGGTTATAAAAATTGAAAATTGAGATGTCCAAATAAAACCGTTTTACTTATACCATATGACGTGAAATGCCACACATTTAATTGCTTGAAATTGGAATAAAAAAATAATCCAGCCAAATATCCCTCGACCTTCAAAATTAATCGGATAATTTCCTCCAGTTTCCCTGCGTAGCACCGATCGGGATGAGTTTTTCAGAAAATCAGAAATTTTTAACCTGCAAAACTTATCCCTCTCAAAACTCCCAGGAAATATCCGATAATTTTGAAGGTCTTGGGGGATTACTACTGATAATTAGTACAATGTCCATTTAGTAATTTGCGAATGGCTCGACGAAAATTACGTCAATCTCCTACAGCTCTACTATAGTTAGACTGATTTGTGCTTGCAGTGGATCACGGGATTGAAATCGATTAGCGATGTCATCATAATCGATTCCGTAGGATATCTTAAGAAGCATGTAATTGAAGGTCATCCACTATTTTACGAGTACATTACACCGCAAGTGGTTGCACCGGTGACCAAGATTTTTCATTTTCTGAAAAAATTTCCCCTCTCGATGAAGTAATAATCAGGATTTTCTCTATTTAAAAAACACACGAAAGAATGGAGTAGCAATTTTTTTGACTATTTTTCCACGGATAAATTAAATGTTAACATAAAATTGATTAATGATATATTGATATGAAATTGTAGAGAAAATTACCCACAACACTGAATACTCGCAAAAATTGGCATTTCCAAAATAAAATTATGATTGATATGTTTTTATTAATGAGAGAGTCTTCGTTTGGGAATTGTTTTTTATTTTTTATTTCTGTATATTTCAAAGTTGATTTTATGTGTCGCAGGGTAATTACGGTGAATTTAAATATTCTTTTTTGTAAATTAAAAGGGATTTTGAGAGAGATTGGAAATACGAAATTCTGGGGAAACAATAAATTTTCAGCAACAAAACATTAATTGAATAGCGACGGAAAAAGTGATCCCCAAAATTCAATAATCAAGACATGCAATATGAAACGTGTTGGAATATTTAAGTACAGATGTTCCATTCGGGAAAATAGTCCCAGAAAAGGACTAGTTGATAATCATTTCATTTCCACTTTCTAAAACGGTTTAATGTTAAAAATATGTTGAGAATTCAAGGACTGTGTTCTCTTGTGAGATAAACTTTAACTTTTATTCTTAGTTTTCTTGTCAGAATTTTTTAATTTTTTTTTCAAAAGAAGACGGTATCAAGAATTAATCGGCTTCTTAAAAATTATTTATTCACTTGCACCCATACTCCAATAAAACATTTTAAATTTCTCACTTTCTCGATAAATTTAATTTTTCAATTATCGTAGAAAGCATGATTTAATTTTCTTTATTAAGAATAATTAATCCCCGGCGAATTATTCACATTGAAGAGCCTTCCAGAACAGGAGTACATTTTCCATTGATAAAAACAAAATATTCGAACCGAAATAAAAATAAAAATATAATAGAATCGAAATATTTAGATCCGTTGACGTGTGTCGAGTAAAATCCGTTAGCAATAAGCAATTCATTTCAGGGAAATGAATTCTTCTTCAGTCTACACTATTGGAAAAAAGTTTTCCGCCAAATATATTTACTTTGCACCAGTAAATCTACATAAATACTTCCATAAACCACATAAAAAACAAAATATATATTAATTATGCGCCGATATATTCCGATCAAAGATGTTATATATCAGATATATCCTGAATATATACGAAGATATATATTACACAATATACTCAGGATATATCCGACGCATACGTGGAATATATTTGCAGCCAAAAATGCGATACGTCACGTAAATATCATAAATCATTATCAACATATTTTTGATATATATTTGATATATATCATATTTTATCATAATCCTTGCGAGGGAAGCCCCGCTCATGCTGAATATATTATCTCGATTGAGTAGATAAATTCGAGAAAAGAATATTTTCCAAAATGCCTCAATTGAAAAGAGCCAAGGACATTGGTCTCATCTCTAACATAAACAACTTGACACTTCATCGCTGAATGATTTTTCGAAGTAATCATCCACAATTCTAATTAAATTGAACCCTAAAATATGAACACGTAATACAAAGGCTCGGTATTGCGTCAAAAACACTAAAGATTCCCTGAAGAAAATCTTGTCGCGAAATGCCGGTGAGACGACGTAATAAAACCGCGCAGATTTCCATGAAATAAATCTCTTCGCTTACTTGATAACCGTTTGCTTCATGCTGTTCGTCATGTTTATGGTACGTCCCGCTGTTTATTTATTTGAACCAGCACATAACACTGAAGAGCACAAAATCCACCTGCGGAACTTTAACGGACTGTTGACTTGATTTGGAAATAATTACTGTAAAGGGTTTGTTTTATTTATTTATTTTTTTTTTCAAATAAATCGGCGGGACAATGGTCGAGGGTCCGGATGGATCGGATTGGAGCGCTAGTGCCGGACTGAACGAGCGCGCGCACTTCTCCACTGTATTTAAACCGCCTCTCCCTCCCGCCTCGTGGCCCTCTTCCGCCCCCCGCCCCCCGTTTTCATCATTCAAAAATCAATAACACTATTAGAGAAAAATATACTTGAAATTTTATTAAGGAAATTGGAAATTTTCAACAGCGAGAGAGTGACATGAAATTTCTACGGTAGCGAAATTTATATGTTCTACTATTTTACTATTTGTCTGGATATTTATTTATTTATCTTTTATTTATTTATAATTTTACTTTAGTTAAGGATTCGATATAATTCTAGCCAGGTTAATAATGTCCGGTGTTGCTTGCTCGAGAGTTCGTAAAAAATGGCTTCTGGCCACCAAGTCGTTCAGGGTGTGAGGTTTGCCCCAAAGACAAGGCCCCTTGTCTATTGACATGGCCCACGTATTGGATTGTCATAAACAGCCTAAGTGTGTCGTTATCCCCCCTGTCACAACGGATCGTCTATTCGTATTGGGGTGAATTCTTTCCTAGTGAATCAATTAATTTCGTGAATATTCTGAAAATACTTTGAAAGCGTAAAACTGTTGAATATTGATTTCCCCATGTGTTTACATCGCGCCTTCGGTCTCTATGCCATCATCTTTATCTATTTTACTCTCGTGCGGTCCCATCAATTGAAAAACAAGATTACTGTAGGAGAAAGATATATATGAAATTCCAAGTAAAAAACTTGACATTTTCATCAACGAGAAAGGGTTATGAAATTTTTGTAGAATTTTTTATTGATGAATTAATGAATTTTTTTAATATTCTGAGAATGCTCTGTAAAAATATTGAAGCTTCGTGACTCCCACCTGTTTGCATCGTATTTTCGATCCCTATTCTATCATTCTTATCCTTTCTACTTCCGCGTGCTTTAATTATTTGAAAAATATGGAAATTACGCGGGAAGAAGGTCCTTATTGCGAATATTTTCTCAGTTTTTATATTTTTATGGCAATCTCTGGGAAACCCTGAATTCGAATGACCGTTTTTAGATTTCATCATTATTCAATGACTCATAAAATTTCATACTCGTGCGTTTACTTTTCTCAATTTTTTGTAAAGGTGTGTGAATTTTTGGCAAAGTTTACGTAAAACAGGAAAATTCCTCCACCAGAAGAAAACTTCGGGAGACACTGAATGTTAATAAAACTTAAGAACGGAATATTTTTTCACGTCAATTTTATCGACCACCGACGTCGGTAGCTTAGTGGCTAGGTGCGAGCCTAGTGTTCTGAAAGTTGTGAGTTCGATTCCCCGTTGAATCGAATTTTTCAAACGGCACCGATGAGCGTGAGGTTGCTAATAGAGTGACCACCTGTACCGACATGGTTTTTCCTGTGGTTTCCCATGCCACTCCTATGTTCTATAAGAGAGTGAATACGGTACAGTGTAGGATCCACAGCGGCATGCATAGGGTGAGATAGGGCTAAATAGCCAGAACAGGGCAGACAGGGCCGAAATATTAAGAAAAAAAACAAAAAAAAACTGCTAAAAAAATGTGAAGTATACCGGCAATAATTCCCCAATAGCTGAAATACCAATTTAAAAATAAAAAGACGCCTCTATTACCCCTCGCACTCCTCTATAACGCTGTAATAACAATTAATTATATAATATTAATAATAATAATCATAAAATAAAAATAAATTAATAATAATAATTATAAAAACGAGAAATTTTAATAAATATTAATAATACCCATAAATGAAATATTTATATATATGTGACGTTTCGAGTCCTAGTTCCATGTCTGTTGCCTAGCTACTGAATAGCCCCAATCGACACTTGGGATAGGACCTCGGGTCGCCCAGTTGACCTTCGTTCTGGCTATCTGGAGTTCACCCACACGGGGACCAATTCAATAGATAAAGGGCCTTGATTTTGGAGCAGACTTAACACCCTGGACGAATTGGCGGCCCGCCGCGGTTTTCAACGAACTCTCGAGCAAGCAACATTGGACATTATCAACCTAGCGAGAATTATATCGAATCCTTGAGGGAAAATGTTAAAAACAAATCAAAGATCGAGACGTGTAAATAAATACTAGGAGATATTCTTTGATAAATAATGAAGGTTACTATGAATTTTTTTCAACGGAATTACTATCTTGCGAAATTCGATACTGAAGAATTTAATTTGAGATCGAAATACAAAATGTTTTGAGTTGGAATTATTCCTTACCGATATGATTGTACGATCACTTTTCTGTACCGAAATGACAGATAAATGTTCTTTAAATTTCTTAACAAGCATCATTAAACGATATGAACAAAGAAAATTTTCAATACGTAATTGCGCCACTTTTCTCCATCGAATACTCCAACGATCAACGACTGCAAGGACTCCTGTTTCTCACGACATAACACTTGCAATAATAATAATGATAATAATGCAAATGACCTTCAACTGAGAATCAACGTCCGGGGAAGTCAGAGACGAGAAGTAGGAAAATGGTGTAGTCTGCGTATAGGTAATATCTATATAAAAAATGAGGACGTCGTAAATGCTACAACGTCTGGTCCGAGTCCATTGACTTAATGAAGTACCTCCTGAATTCCAATCGTCAATACTCTGGGAAACAGTCCAATGTAGTCTCCGGGTAAAATGCAAGTAGCATTGTGCATTTGTTATTGTGTATATTTTATTTTTTATTAAAAATAAATTTCCGAAACGTTCGAGTTCAGTTATTTGGGTTTTTCTGTATTCAAGGTCATTGATCAATGATGTATAAAATAAAATATAATAAATGTATTTTTCAACAATGTAACTATACAGACAATCGATTAATCGATTATATTAATCGATATATACAGAGAATCGATTAATCGATTGTGTTAATCGATATATACGAATAATCGATTAATCGATTATCTGTATGGTTACATTGTTGGAAACTTACATTGGAAATTTATGCCGAATTCTTCATTGACGAATCAGTTAAACTGGAAAAATGAAATGTCAGGAAAAATCAAATAATTGTGAATCTTGCACTCACGGCTCCATTTAATTTTTTTATATATATATATCCTTTCATTTATTGCTATTCCACGCGAGTCCTTCTGTATGAAAGATCTATGGATACACACAGAAAACACTCTACTTAAAATACGAGATTTAAAGCGTAATTTACGGGATTTCTGATTCCCTACATTATGAGTTTGGAAATGTAAATTACGGGCTAAAACCACGTAAATTACACCAAAAAATGCCATAAATTACGATTTCTATGTCGTTAAATTACGAGGTCGATCTCGTAAATTATGAGGACCCATATTGTGAATTATAAGTTTCGACCTCATGAATTACGGGGTCCGTAATTTACGCTCCCTTTCTCGTCATTTACCACATGCCAATCACGTAAAATCTGTGATTGGGATGGTAAATGCAAGGACAAATATAACAAAAACATGAACATGACTTTGAGGATATACTGGGTTATCTGAACATGACTTTCAGTGATTTTTTTAGAACATTTTTCCAAAAGAATTGTAAAAATTACAAAAATGTTCAAAATTCCTTCGTTTTTGTAAAGTTGGGGAATCCATGGAAAATAACTGATTATTTCTCTCAGAATTTGCCTCCGATTTCTTCCATCTTCCACGATATTTCCCAAATTTTCGAAATTTCAAAAATCTTATTTCCATTACCGACCATCCCTAAGCAATATTTGAACCCTTGTGAACCGGAAGTGGTCACGAGAAAAAAAAAACCCTTTTAGGGGGTGGAAATATTGTTATCCAAAGATCCGGAAATAACGCCCAAGTAGTTGAGTTAGAATTAGTCTCGCTTAAGGATTCGCAGAGCAACGTATAATTTGTTCTGGAGTCATTTCACACTACTTCGTGCACTGGAAATTTAAAATCGACGGGAAGAAACATCAAATTGGAAACTATAAAACAAGCAGGTGTGCGAGTCAATTCTTTATGCCTTATTAGTCCATTATCTGTCTCTCGTCATCAATTCCATTGGTTATAAGTTTCCATTCGATTTTTCTTCGTAAATGACGAGAGGAATGTAGGTTGTATCATCCCAAGGACCCTAAAAAACAACAGAAATCTGATGGACTAAGGCACTTTCTTTCTCTTATTTAGGGAGTAAAGTCGAATTTTCCGTGAAGGTATGACGGAAAAGATTCGTCCGTTAACTCTATACGAGAGTGTATTGGTTATATTTTTACGACACACTGAGTGTGAAGTGCCATTTTGTGCACGCTTCGCTTCCCACTTCCTACACGGCGTGATGAAATAATAATGTGATGTGTTCCCCTTAATAGTTTACAGTACCTACTGCGCACTCCGCGCGCCGAATTTGAATTTGGCGGTTCGAGTTGACCAATGAGGAATCAGTCCCACGCGTTTCGAGATATTTCGACTCGGCCGAACTTCACTTTTGTGTTTCTACTTTCATAATAAGGATTTCGTGTGCGTAGAATAGATGTTTTTACACGGTGTGCGTAAAGTTCAGAGGTCGTGCAGTTGCGTCTATGTTTAAAAGTCAAGGTCGTGTGTAAAGCGAATTTCCCATGCGTAAGCGAAAAGAATTCAGTTTAGACTCGCCCTTGACCTTTACGCACTCTGTGAATAAAACCAATGACCCCCACGAGGGTTACGCGAGCCCGGCAAATATCTCAACAAATAAGAGGTTTTATGTGTGCGTGCGAAATAGTATATTGTGCCTCTAGGGAGTAAAGTATTTTCTGAAGAAATGTGAATTTATAACTCAAGCTGAAAGATCTTTTGTTCTCGTAAAGACTGGAAGGTGCGAATCGTACTTCCCAGTCCCTAGGCGAATAAAAGCATTTCTTTACGCACTTGTACGACAATATCTAATAATATCATCACAAAGTGCGAAGTAAGGCGTGGGGCACTTTACGTTGCGTGAAGTTTTGCATAAAATGTCATTATTACACTCAGTATTTCAAAAAAGTACTTTATAACGAGCGTGAGTAAAACCCTCGTCTTCAG